CACTCATGAGTGGAGAGATATCTTTCAGAAAAATATGTTAGTAAAGGATGCAGTAGAGTAACACCAATAACACTCATGAGTGGAGAGATATCTTTCAGAAAAATATGTTAGTAAAGGATGCAGTAGAGTAACACCAATAACACTCATGAGTGGAGAGATATCTTTCAGAAAAATATGTTAGTAAAGGATGCAGTAGAGTAACACCAATAACACTCAAGAGTGGAGAGATATCTTTCAGAAAAATATGTTAGTAAAGGATGCAATAGAGTAACACCAATAACACTCAAGAGTGGAGAGATATCTTTCAGAAAAATATGTTAGTAAAGGATGCAGTAGAGTAACACCAATAACACTCATGAGTGGAGAGATATCTTTCAGAAAAATATGTTAGTAAAGGATGCAGTAAGAGAAAATCTTAAATCATTCAAGTATTTGTTATTGTCTTTCAAAGAAAAGTGTTTATTTTGATAAATAAATATAAAGCATTAAGTATAATTAATACAGAAACTATTTCAATGAAGTTGTTTCCGATAAAGTATGATTGTTATTACAGTTTTTTTAAATGTGGTACAAGTGGCTGATGTTATTATCATCATTGTATCAGGTAGGTTTTATTACTGCTTAATTCCTGTAGTATGTACAAAAACTTCCTTCTTTGAGTTTGATATTTAAAAAAAATTGACCAGTGGCTAATTTACTAAACAGTTGTTGTTTTTGTTTACAGAGGCCTCAGAACTTATTCGTCGTTTGCTCACTGTTGACCCAGCAAAACGAGCAACCATAATTGACATTTGCACTGATACCTGGGTGAACTTTGGCTATGATCTCTCATTGCTTCAAGTATCAGAAGACATGGCTAATCTTGCACCAGTACGCATTGATCTTTTACTTGCTTTAGTTCCTGTCTCTCCTCCACCAGCATGTGCCGTGATGGAAGAGCAGCCATTACATAGATCCATCGGAACAAAGAAAGAACCATCACAGTCTAAACATCAGACTGGAAAATATGTTGATGGAGAAACAACAGACAGTGCTGGTGCTGATGATCAACTTCTCACATCATCCATATTGGACTCCGAAAGTGTTGAAAAATCTTTTGATGGCAGTCTTGCGAGGATTTCAAGTCTTGCCCACCAGGCTAAAAAACCACGCAAATCTGTCTCTGTTGCCCAAACTGTTCCTGAAGTAGGGTCACCTGAAACGAAAGAAAAAATTAAGTTTTCAGTGGAAGAAAAACAAATTGAGAATGATAATGTCATAAAGAAAGAAAGTAAAGACAGAGATACTTTTGTTACTCATGAACAAGGAAGCACGTGCATTGAAAAAAGGTCACACGAAGAAAACGTAAATAGCCAATCTGATCAGAAATCCAAGGCAAGTGAAGTATCGAAGAAAGAAAGTAGATTAGATCCTGTAGACTCTGAAGAAAATGATGATAGAATATATAATAAAAAGCAAAACCTAGACGAGGTTTCTGAAAATGAATTAACTACAGAAAAGAACAAAGAAAAAATTTCAAAATTTTTCAACCAATCCAAAGATCCTGAAGGAACTAAAGTACTAAGAAAACCAGGTAAAATTACCATCCCTAAAACTTTTGAAACACCAGAAGCCAAACCATCTGTGTTTTCTCCAATTCAGAAAGACCTGGAGGCAAAGATATTGGGAAACCAAACAGGAAAAGAAAGAAATTTAGCTAGTGGAAAGTCTTCGGGAGTTACAAATACTAACAAGTTGCAGTTTGAATTAACTTTAAACCCTGAGCCCATAGTAGCTACAAGGAATAAACAAGAAGAAACTAAAGAGTTTAGCATGCAAAAGAAAAGTCCTATTCAGATAATTGATGAAGTAACAGAAGATTTTAAGAATGATACAAGTGTTCCACAATTGATTACAGAAAAAAAGAATGAAACAAAGCAAAATCTGGACACTGATGAAACAAAAAAGATAGCTGCACGTGGAATCCTGAAAAAGAATATAGCAAAAGCCAAACTTATTGAAAGAAAGCTGTCTCATCAGGGATCTTCAGAAGTTGGGAGCGAACCATCTACGCCCTCAACGCCGGGAAGCGTTGAAAGTCCAGAAAGTGGAAAAAGTAACTCTTTTTTCAAAACACCTAGACCTTACTCACGAGAAAATTCTGAACAGTCATCTCAAAGTAATGCTGAAATTAAACTAAACTTAAAAGAAGGATTACATAAGAAGTCCCAAATAAAATTTTCTTCTCAGAGCCCTAGGTCCGCAGCATTTACTTCTAGTGATGAAAATAACTCTGTTTGGGAGGAATCACAGTCTGCAAATAAACATCATTTGGTGAAGGTCGCACAGAGTCATTCTGATCATGGTCAACTATCTCCAAGTATTGAGAAGGAGATGAGTAACTGGAGAAAAGCAGTTGAAGCAACTATAATAAAACTTTCTCCAGAAGTAGTTAGTGAAAATGACCATGCCACTTTAACTCGCTGTGCAGGACAGTCATCTGTAAGGAGGAATTCTGGAGGTCTGGCACCCATTAAGCGCAGTTACAGAAAGTTTACATTTAATAAAGATGGTTCTTGCATAACAGAGACAGGCAAGGTTTATACAACTGCTGAAGCAGATGGCTCTTGGACCAAAGTGGAGGAAAAAACAAGGATCACCAAAAACCCAAGTCCGATTGAAAATGATTTTGAAAGAATAGAGCGTTTACAGCTTAGAGAAGATTCTGATGTTCGAAAATCATATAGTCAGAGTTCTTCAGAATCGAATGATATTGTTGATGACATATTTGACAGTTGGACTGGAGAAAATATCATTTCAAAGTTTATGAAGATGAAAAACACTTTAGGTAAAACTACCAAAGATCCATTCCCACACAGAGAAAGGAGGAGAGGTTCGTTTCAACAAATGAGCAAAAAAACAGAAAAGAGACTCGATGAATTCATTAATAGGGAACTAAGAAGTGAAAATTCCACAGACAGAGAATTTTCAGATTTGGAAGATGACTTTGATGTCCATTTTGATGATTCTCACCCTTTTATGTATGGATCTCAGAGACTTTGGCAACTTCTGCACTCTGTTAATCAGTATATGGGTGACTCCGTCGGATCAGACAGGAGTCCTTCTCATTTTACTTCTGTAACTCACAGTTTGGGTCATAACTCTCAGGGGTTGTGGGGCAGGGATCATTTCAGCCAAAAGAGTCAACCAGGAAGAACTTTTTCATCTATGATAAGGTCACTCAGTCGAGAGAGACCCCAGTCTTCAAGAGAAACTGTTTTGAAGTTTGACCTTGAACCAATAAAACATCAGCCACCTGTAAATGTTAGTGAACCTACATCTCCAAGATCTAGGTATGACACCTGGAAGTTTAAGGATGGATACTCTTCTGCTAATGAGAACATCTGCCATAGAGACAGTGGTGTAGAAAGCTGTGATGGATATGAATCTGAAGTCTTGACAAAAACATTAAAGCCCTCCAGAATACTTGAAGATGACTTTGGATTAGATAGAGTATCTTTATATGGAACTGTTAGGCCACGAACTTATCAACAGTACATAAAATCCTTTACAAAGAACTTACCAAAGCCAAAATCCAAGAATTCATTTAAGCCCACGTCTCCTACTACTGGCCAAGATATGATACAGAAGATTGGATGTGATTCTCCTCAGGAAGCAGGAATGCCTGAAAATGAAAGAAAAAGAGTTGAACAGCGGTTGCACATGTCTGATAATAATAGTGTAAGAAGTCCTGTTGGTGGAGCATCTGATAATGACAGAAGATATATACGATCCCTCAGCAAAGACAGCTCAGCTTCAAATAGTGCTTCTATTTATGGAACTATACGTCCCAGAGGTTTCATTAGATACAATCGCTCTAAAAGTGACAAGGCTGTTGACCCTGATGAGCTATTTGATGGAGTGAGTCTAGGACAGAATAAGAGATCTGAGAGTATACAAAGTTTAGATTTGATGTCACGTAATGTAAGTGGAAGAGCTTCAAGATCATTGTTCAAAACTGTTTCTGAGATAGAGGTCAATGACGAACAAAAAAGTCAAAATAAAACAGGTCAAGGAACTTCCAAGTCAGAATATCTTACTGATAATGGGAGACCTCCAGTGGGAAATCCTCAACTTAGGTCTTCAGGAAATTTATATTATACCAAGTCTTTGAGCAGTAATCCCCATGAGACTGGATCCAATAAGCAGGATGCAGAACAAATAGAAACAGCAATTCCAGCAAGGGGCCAAGGACGTCCAGTCTTTCGTATGAGATTTTCCTTTAATCGAAGCAATCCAAAAGATCACGCTTTTGTTTCGTCACACCAAGAAGACCATACAGAACCATTGGGGAGCATATGGCAACAGCAGCATGCTGAAGAACAATCTTCAGCACATCAAATGCATAGTGATACATCTTGTGATGCACCTGGCTCAGTAAGGATCTCTCAAAAAACCCAGGAAAACAGAGGTGAAACCACCCAACATGCTTCAAAAAGCATAAAGCATATTACAGTGGAAGTGGAAGACAGCAGAATAGTAAAATCCTCAGATGGTTGGACCAGGGCAACACCCTCTGATGGTAGAGTCAGAACCTCTTCTTTGGGTAACTTGGAAAGGGATAGTAACCAGGAACCAGGTTCTTCCAGCCCCAGTGTCTTCCAAAGAGGTAAGGACCTTATTATTAATCCTGCACCAAAACCCAATGCATGTTGCACGGACTACTGCATGAAGACTAACCTTCTCACGCAATCAGATATTTGGACTGATTGTGGTGTATCCCCCAAACACCTAGCAGACAAACTAACCAACATGAGAGTAGATAGCAAAAGAAAAACTTCAAATACTTCAGAAAATGAAGCTAATTCAGATGGTACACTAACTCCAGACAGTTTGGATGGAGTTCTTACTGAAGAAAGTCATGATGAAGGAATTTCAAGCTGTACAAGAAAGGGATCAGTTAGTGAAAGGATATATCGTAAGAAATTTCCTAATAGGGAAAGTGTCTGCAAGAAATATAGTACAAGTCTTGATAAAAGCTGTGATAGGAATGATATAATGGATGAGATTGGCAGGTCAGAGAGAAATGGACTTTGGCCTTCTTCTTTAAAAACGAATGCATTTGAGACTGATACATCCCAAGATACTTCAGGAAAACATTTCTACCCAAACAAAGACAGTATAACTAAAGAATCTCAGCCTTGTAATGACAAGTTTTTAACAGAGAAATTTGATGTGCCATATTCAAGGACTTCAGTTAACACTAGTGAACTATTTTCAAGTCAAAATGCTTGCTTCTCGAAACAAGCGTATTTTAGGCATCAAGCTTTTCCACAGCTACTATCTGAAGCTAACACATTTCTTTGTGATAGTCCTAACATAAGACTGTCTAATGACAGAAGTAGTTCTAGAACACTGTTATTTGATGAGTTGGTTGCCAGCACCAAGGATACACAGGGAGGAACTGTTTCATCTTTGATGAGTGATCTGGACAGACCTCACGAGCTTTTGCGTCGTGCATTTTCCATCTGTGAGTCTCTAACTAATGATAAAAGGTATTCTTGATTCATTACGTCAGTGAGGCTTACAGAGAGTAGATAAAGAAAGACATACTGATTATGCTATTTAAAACAAAAAACAGTTTAATGTAGTTGTCGTTGTTAACATTGTGAACTAGGACTGTCCTTACAATTTTTCTGGTGTGTGTGTGTGCATACAGGTATTGCTCAACAGTTAGATAACATGTTAATATTAAAAGCAGTTTTCTAAAAGACTTCACTTCCATATGATAGAGAAAACGAGTGGGCAGAACACTGGATAAGGATTCTTTATGTATATTAATAACATTTGCAAGGTGTTGAACATAAGCTTTGAATTTCCAATACTCATTTTATCTGAGCAATTAATAGGTTTTTTTCAAAGTTCACCACAAGCCAGCTCTGAAGCTTTTATTTTGCTCATAAAGTATTTTGTTGTATTAACAGTTTTATTTTTATTTTGATATATTTTGCCCTTTTTTTTAATTTTCTGAACTAATGTTGATTAAAAATGCTGTTTATTTTACCAGATAAACAAAATGTAAAAATGCTTGAGAAACGTCAGTATTATTGATTTTTTAATTGTAAGATATTTATTTTTGTTCTGCTTTGGCGATGTTTGGGGGTTATATTATAAAATATAAACAAAAATGTACAATATATTAACAATGCAACACTTGCTAATCAGTAAAGGCATGTATGGTTAATAATTGTTAAAAAATCATGTTGTTAATCAGTAAAGAAATGCGTGGTTGTTAATTGTTAAATAAACGTTGTTAATCAGTAAAGAAATGCATGGTTGATAGTTATTAAAGAAATACATATTAGTTGTAATTGTTTTTTTTTTGTTTTTTTTTGGTATCAGTGACAAGAAACATACATCTTCAGTATTAGTAATACATGTATATATATATATATATATATAGATATGTTGGCCTGAGGATTCTCCTACAGTAGGTGTCAGTGACTCGTTGGCGATAAATTCAAAAATCAACGGACAGCACTCACTCCACTTGTTTTCAAAATAATATATATATATATTTGGAACTAGTTAAACGTATGTACAACAGATTCTTTACAATATAGAGATCATAGGCATATCATAAACACTATAGTTTTCCCCTTGTTGTCAAAATTCAACTTAGGCCTATTCAATTGTCTTAGAATTTCAATTTACAAGCTGAACTATTTTTCTCTATTACTATCGCCAAACTATCCGAGTATGATTCACTTTTTTTATCGTCAAGTTACCACGGTTGTATCCTATACTTTTAAAATCGTCTACTACCTTTTCTCTCTTTGTATTTCCGAGAATCGTCTGTCTATTGTTAAAGTCCACTGAGGCTAGTTCAATGACCTTAGAATTATTTGACGAAATAAATTATTTTTATCTCTTTCAAGACCGTTAGTCTTTCGACCATTAGGCCTTCCATTCCTCCGACGATTAACTTTGCGTTTAACTTTTCTTTGGTCGAATTCCTTCTCGTAACTTTACTTCTCGCCTGCTCTGTCTGTTTACTTTTCCCGCTCATCTCACACTATTTCTTAGTTTATTACTTTCATGATGTCAGAAAAACATGTAGGTTCAAGAAGTCTTGATACAAGATGATAAAAACACTATAACCCTATCGCTTTCTAAAGGTAGACCTGGCTGCCCCTGAAGAAGAGAGTTTTACCTTTCGAAAGTGCTCTGGTTATAGGGTTTTTATCATCTTGGATGTTTATTACTTAATCGTCTACTCGCTATATCCTCGACATCAATGAGTTACAAACACAACTTACGACTCTTACCGAGTTAGTAACTAAACTTGTCATAATATTTACTTAAAAATAATTGCTTCTAATTGTCTTGTTACTACACAATCATAAAATATTCACTCACAAAATAAATCAATAATATCTACACTAAACAGTCTTGTATATCATGACAATCAGTATACTTCTAGCAGTGGCGTTACGAAACTGTAGTTTTGTAATAATGAGTTATATCTTCTGTAATAATAAACAAGCAAAAGTTTTCTTAACACTGGCACAAAATCTTCTGAGTATCACTTGAATACAAAATGGCAAACTATAAAATGAGATCCACTTAATGTGTTCTACAGATGGAAAATTTTCTGGTTAGCATATTAAACAATAAAGTCTAAACGTAAAGGCCCGGTATGGCCAGGTGGTTAGGACACTCGACTCGCAATCTGCGGGTTCGAATCCCCGTCACACTAAACATGCCATTTCAGCCGTGGGGGCGTTATAATGTTACGGTCAATCCCACTGTTCGTTGGTAAAAGAGTAGCCCAAGAGTTGGTGGTGATTACTTTTAGTAATTCACTGCTAAGTTTGGGGTGGCTAGCCCAGATAGCCCTCGTGTAGCTTTGCACGAAATTCAAAACAAACAAACTAAGCGTAAAATTATCTTTTAGGCAGGTATGTAATGTGTATAAGTCACACAGTACAAAATAATGAATTCTATCAGTCACACAGTACACAATAAGGAACTCTGTCAGTCACACGGTATACAATAAGGAATTCTGTCAGTCACACGGTATACAATAAGGAATTCTGTCAGTCACACGGTACACAAT